CGACTTACCGCCGGAATTCACAGCCGGTGAACAAGAAGAAGAAAGAAGAAAGCCCCAGCATTTTTTTTTGTCTGTTTGTGATTTTGCTAGGCAATTTACGTTCATTAGTTTGATATTGCTTTATCCCCGTGTGGGTTCCGGGGCCCTATTATAGGGAACACAAGAATAGACCCTCTGCCTACCCAAAAGCATGTCGTAAGAGTCGACTAATTGGGAGCTTCCTTCGAAGTCGGAGTGCACCAGCCTGAGACGCAAGGAACCAGTAGTCTGCACACGAATGAGTCAGATCTGTAAAACGGATGCACACGCACCACTTAGGTTCTGGAACAGGACTGCAGTCCAGAAGTGGATGAACAACCAGAACCTTTTGCCAGAGTTTACAGCTGGTCACCGCGAAGAAGAAAGACGAAGAAGAAGAAGAAGAACAAGCTTTCTTTAAAAAAAAAAAAACGCTTAGTCCACAGACCCTGACAGGCTCAGCAACCTGGTTTAATTAAAAACTTTGGTTGGCTAGTTTTTGTGGCTTATCTGTTTTAACGGAATGAGATGGCCAGACCAAAACCCAACCTTTTTTTCGATTGTGATGACATGCATCGTTTTATAGGCAGAACCTGGGAGTTCAGCTCCCCCGAGACCTCCCCAAACATACTTTAATGACTTGGACCCCCCCCCCCCCCAACTAATTTTGTAGAGTACTAAGAGATTCAGGTGCCGCCATGGCGTAGTCGGTTGCTAGACGCTCGCCTGCGGATCGGAAGGTCGTGGGTTCCGGTCCTCATGAAACCGGACGTTTTTTTTTAAATATATAACACTGGCTCCCAGGTTTACCCAGGTCCCAGGTTCATTCACGGGAATTACAAGGGGCCTGTATGACGCTGACCACAGCAACCAACAAGTGCCGAATAGTCTATAAAACATTGGACTAGTCCTATATACTCAATACACCGAAAGACATGGAAATTGGTCCTTTACCTTTTTCTTGTACTCACTAAGAGAGACACTTAAACATTTCCTTCAAAAGTTTTTGTTTTTACATATCATATTTTTGTAAAATGTTGCACGCTGAATTGAGAATCGATATCACAACACTCGGGACACCCACATAAGCGCTCCGACCCATCGTCAGCAGCAAGCGAAGAGTTAAAATTCCGATGATACCAGTGACTGTCTGAATGTATATCCGTCTCGCCTTTCCTCTGAGTGTCGACCACATCCCCTTGTAACTCCTTGCAGTGCCATTCTCATCATCAGACCGCAATGATCTGTCTGTCACTCGGCACTGTTCACTCTCTCCCAAAGGGCCCTCACAACATCCAGCTTGTCATACATCAGTTCACCACCAAGCAGTGCATAACCGACCAGTCTGTCTGACTAATCATTTCCCAAGACGCCTGCATGACATGGAGAAAATATCCAAAAGGATGCTAACTACCCGGGACCTTTGAAGTGATGCTTGCTACTCTGCATCTATTTTTTTCAAAATTTTTCAATATATGAATATATTATCATATTCATTTGTCATTCAGCACATTAAAAATAACAGCAATGGGCTGAAAAGCTGAAAATTATAATAATACATTTGAAGTAATGTGAGATATATCGACACATACTTTAAGAGGTAATTTCGGTACTCTTCCCCATGTCTATACATGATTAAAGAAGGTCTTTTACGAAATCGTTGTTAAGGGGCAGAGTGTTTATTTTTTGTTTATGCCCTTTATAGAGCCCCGAAACACACACAGGGAAGGAAGGATTCAAAAACAGTGGCATTTCTAGTCCATAACATCTTGTAGACCAACACATGTGGTGATTAGGCTATAGGTATACTTACGCTAGACCAGTGATTCCCGAACTGTGCGCCACGGCGCCCGGGAAAGCCGCGACCTTTTCACAGGGGCGCTGCTAAATATTCGAAGATACACGAGTTTCATTTGTTTTGATCTCTTACACACGAATAGTCATACTTTTACTTAGGTTAGGGCGCCGTGGAAACATTTTAATTGAAAAAAAAAGGCACCGCGACGAAAAGTTTGGGAAAAACTGGACTAGACTAACTCATTTGGTCAAGGCTCGGCAATTAGTCACCAAGAGTCTGGAGCGCCACCTATGGAGGGCATGGACCAATGAGAAGACGGTTATCCAGCAGGCGCCAGGCGGGTTTGAATTGTTGGAGGTCAGGCCGGCAAGACGTGGACAGAACAGCCAGTTCAGTGTTTCATGTAATTGCCACCAGACTAGACCGAAACCAGTTTATCTCTCAACTACCAGGTAATATAGTTTCTTGTCTTAAGCAATTTTCCTATCTCTTCTGCTTGTGTCAGGTTATTACTACAGTAGCACTCATCATAACTTGATACATCGCTGTTTACTTTTCTTGTGGAGTTTTAGTAAAACTTTTACTAAGACCGGTGGACCACATGTCCAAGACAATACAGTCACAACTCACACACTGTATTATACAGTATTTCCCTACTTAACTTATGATAGAAGTGCTAAAATGAATAAATTGTTTAAATACTTCATTTAGATATTTTATTTTAGTGAATCGTTCGTAAAACAACACGGTAGTTATCACCCAGTTCTAGTTTTTAAACTTTGTTAGTAAGAGTAGTGTTTCATTATTTATGATGATATAAATTATAAATTAATATATTATTGATAATCAGAGTTTAAAACATTATTAAACAGTATATTGACAAGCAGGGTAAACTACTGCTATCCGACGACCAACAAACAAAGCGATGGGCAGAACATTTCAAGGAAATATTAAATAGGCCAAATCCTGACATCATTCCCAATCTAGAAGAAGAAATTATTACACCGACACTAGTTGCCTCCAGCGAGTCATTTACAATAGAGGAGATTAAAACAGCTATTAAAAAAATTAAGAATAAACAAAGCTACCGGAGAGGACAACATCTCAGGGGAAATGCTCAAAGCAGCGGATGAAAACACCCTGCAACATTTGCTCCAGCTGATGGATGAAGTCTGGCAAAATGAATACCCACCACAACAATGGAAAGATGGTGGGTGTAGTAATCTTCAAATTACCTCAAAAAGGTGATTTATCCGATTGTAACAACTGGAGAGGCATCACCCTGCTTTCGATACCAGGGAAACTATTTTGTAGTATGCTACTAGAAAGATTGAAAAAATCCATAGATGAAAGATTAAGGGAAGAACAGGCCGGTTTTAGATCCAAGCGGTCATGCATAGACCACATCTTTACTCTTAGAATAATTGTTGAAGATTCTACAGAATTCCAGTCGAAATTATTGATCAACTTTGTCGACTTTCAAAAAGCCTTCGACAGTATCCATCGTCCAACACTCTGGAAATTGCTTAACATCTATGGTTTCCCCATCAAATATATCATCATAAAATCTTTTTATAATGAAACACGATGCTGTGTAAGAACTGATTCCGGCAATTCTGACTGGTTACCGGTGGAAACAGGAGTGAAACAAAGCTGTGTCCTATCGTCGATGCTTTTTGGTATAGCAATCGACTGGGTCATGCGCAAGTGCATAAATAACGCAAATTTAGGCATTACATGGGTTGACAAAATTCTGGAAGACCTAGACTTCGCCGACGACATAGCACTCCTGAGTTCAGAACACACAGACGCCCAAGAAAAAATCAATCGACTCCAGAAATTCTCAGAACAAATTGGACTCCAAATTAACACAGCAAAAACAAAAATTCTAGACTTAACCAACAGTTCAGTTGATATCACGCTGAACAACAACAGCCTTAAAAAAGTCAACAGTTTCACTTATCTAGGGAGCAAGATGTCATCTACAGGAGATACCGCACCAGAAATACCATTTAGAATAGCACTGGCATCTAGTGCCTTCAATAAACTGTCTAACATCTGGAAATCAAAGACAATTAGCAAACACACAAAACTCAAGATCTTCAATTCTTGTGATTCCAGTACTAACCTATGGATGCGAGAGCTGGAAATCAACGAAAACTCTAGACACAAAATTAGACAGTTTTGAAAATAAATGCCTTAGAAGAATACTAAATTTCGAATGGTCAGATTTCCGAACAAATACAAATAAGGCAAGAATCCAGGCAAGAGTATGTGTCTAATTTTATACGAAAACACCGCTGGAACTATGTCGGCCACGCCCTTAGAATAGATAAATCAAGACTTCCTTACCAAGCCCTCATTTGGACACCACAGGAGAAAAGACCAAAGGAAACCCTACGTAGAACTATCATCAGGGAAGGCTCGCTCATGGGCCACTCAAACATCTAAGACCTACAACGGATTGCAACGAACCGCCATGCATGGAGAGTCATGACCTCTGCCCTATGTGCCGCACTCGACACAAGAGGAAAGACTAACTAATTGTATTAAATGTTTAGTTGTTATTCAGTCATTATGAATATGGATTGTCCCAATGTTTTTGGTTAAATGAAAAACCAGCAGAGTTATCTTTATTAGTGGCACAGAAGGCTTCAAGGAGGACTGTCCATGCCTTCCTAACTTCCTTGTCCTGAGCAATCTTCAGTTCAGTTTTCTATGTCAGAGATGCTGCACTCACTTCACTTTCCATCGTTATTTGTGTGTGTGTGTGTGTGGGGGGGGGGGGGGGGGGGTGGAACCCCTTTTTCTCTTTCCCTCTGTTGTCTTAAGTGAGAGCTTTTTTTTTTTTTTTTTGGCAGAGGCATATCAGCATTTATTCTCATAATGTAACTCAGCCATTTTCATCTTCTTTTGTTATTTTACTGTCTAATTTCTTGGTTTGTGAGGTAAAGTTAGTGTTTGTTTGACATTGTATGGTTCACAGGCGATTGTTACGTATGTCTTCCAGGCCTATGTGCCTCCTTATACGATAGACACCACACTGCCAAGGTTAAATGAATGAACAATATTATTTTTATATTGTGAAGTGATACACCTTGTTTTGCTGCAGAATACTGATCTCTAAAACATAAATAGTATTAACCATGTAGAAGTTAAAATGATTTTGTGAATCTCATGTAGAATGGCTGAAAACACACCAACAGGAGGACACACTGCTCGCTTCAGTGCCTACAAGAACAAAGGCCGGGACATTGAGGTATGTAGGGTAGGCTGTGTCAAGTTTATGTACAATAAAATATTGTATCTGGGCATGTAGCACTGCAGTTACATTAGTGCTTAAATCTTGATAATGCCATCCTCATTAAACATACAACAGTGTCCAGGTATGGGGCAGCTGTCGGACATGAGATAGAATTACATCTTGGTGTAAACTAGTTGAGGGTTTATGCTCCACTGAGGTGATAATAAGCATTATATTTACTGTGGCATCGGGTTTGGAACACGTTCATAATTCTGGGATATTAGGTTCAATTCTAGCTGCAGGCAGTTTGGAAGCTTGCATTTATTTCAACTGGTGTGGAGAATCTACAGTTGAAAAGGCACTTTAATTATTGTACATGAAATACTAACTAGAAAAATGGCCGGGGTTGGTTCTGCATCTGGTGGCGGATACAGGTGTCACAGGAATCTGACTCGGTCATAAAGCTGTGAGATTTCACATGTGTGTGTAGGAGTATGAGTGTATTCATGTAGCTATGACATGTATATTTGAATGTTGTTCAACTATTTTAGCAGTATCGTATCTATTGGAAAATATAAATCTAACATCTTGTATGTAGAAAGCTATTAGTTAATTTAAACAATAAATCATCTAGAAGCAGGGCAGACGTGAAGTATATTTGCAGATGTAACCATGTTGCCCATTTCTATGTCTTTAAAACAAATTTATTTTAGGACCTCCGAAGACGGCGAGTAGAAACTTCTGTTGAGCTGAGAAAACAAAAGAAAGAGGAAACATTGCTGAAAAGAAGAAATGTGGAGGTGTCTGATGAGGAGCCACCAAGTCCTCTACAAGAGCAGAACAAGGTGAGGATATCTCTGCACCATCTTGTGCCAGTGACAACTTGTCATTTCCTCATAGTTCTATCTTGCACTATACTTGCAATTTTTTTTAAAAATATGTTGAATCATTGTTTCTCTGTCCTAAAAATCGTGTTAAATGTTGAATTGTCTATGTGAGGTCAACTGCATTTTTTTGGGGGGAAAGAACACACACTGATCACCCCCCCCCCCCCCAATTCAACATAAACTTGCAAGCTGTGAAAGAAGTTACAAGTCTTAGAAAATCAGCATGAGGACCAATAAACCATCAGTCTGCATTTAAAATATCCAGGTTAAAAAAACTTATTTATTCAAAACTTTCTGCTGGAACAAGACCAGTCCAGAAATTTCTGCTGCTAATTTAACATTACTGGATGTTTTTCTAGATCTTTCCAAGCTTATATTTATTTAAACTTGACACAATGTTTGGCACAGAATTTATCCAATGAAGTTAGTTGATTGCCAGGGTTACGTTGACTGTTGCATAATAAAGTACGTGCAGAGTTAGATGACACATGGCAAGCACTAGAATAAATCCTTTCATCTGAATGATAAAACACATGCAGCCTCTACATTACTTGACCAGTTAACAAATGTATGTAGTTAATTGGTAATAATTTTGAATTTTCAATGTTCTTCAGTCAGTAGTGATTGAACAGTGAACACATGTTTATAAATTTATAATTACTACTTATTGACATGGCCATTTATATAGCGGATGAAAATGGTTTTAATTTATATCTGACCAGTTGCAACAGACCAGTTTTCTGAAAGAGACTAAACGGTTAAAGCTGAGAAAATGACCTTCATAGCACCTGGCTTTTATCCCATATGGTGCAGAATGGCTAGCTGCCAGCCAAGAGCGCCCATAAAGCACAAACACGACTCCATGGGTCTGTACATATTGTACCCTTGAACCGACTTTCATAGTATAGGAAAAGCTGTTTGGCCAGAGATCTCTGAGAGAGCTTTTAAACTTGACCCAAGTGCAGTGTTCTACATTTTGTTGTAAACACAAATTATCAAGTAATTCTGCGGCCACATTCAGCATGTTTGTCACAGTTCAGTTAACTGGCAACTAACCTAAAAAATTCCCGTTGACCCTAACCCGCAAAGTGTGATAAGGTTTCACATGTACTTGTATATTTGTCTTTCAGCATGTTATGTCCATGCCTGAGATCATCGCTGGGATCAAGGGAAAAGATTCAGCTGTAGTGCTGAAATGCACAGAGTCTGTGAGGAGACTTCTGTCCCGGGAGAAGAATCCACCAATTGAACGAGTGATTGAGGCAGGCCTAGTCAACACCCTAGTCACTTTCCTTGATGCTAATGATAAGTAAGTTAACCTGAGTCTGTGTTAGCTACTAATTTCACTTGATTCAATTTCCCTTTTCAAGACAGAATATGCATGTTGGAGTACGTGAAAAAGATGTTGGAATACGTGAAAAAGTTAGGCTTGCAGGTGAGGCTAAGTGGAAGGTTAGTGAGCATGGGATCAAGCATATATATTAAGCACTCTGTGTAAGAAGTAAAGATTGATGCTGCAACCACAAACAGACTGCAAAAACATGTCAAAAAGGGCAAGGCCACACACACATTGGGGGTAGTGAAAGAACATAAAACTAGTTTGGTCTGCCGCTGCAGAATTGACTGAGACAAGAATTCAAGCAGTTATAGGTTGGGTGCTTTGATGTGTGATGAGGATGATCTGTTAGATTAAACAGCCACTGCCAGTAAATGTAAAGAACAAGAAACTATAGGTTTGTGTGTCCTAACTTTGTGGGGAGGGGGTAGGGGGAAGACCAGTTTTCTTCATATGTAAGTCAAAATAAACTATTAGAAAGTAGTGAATATGCAGCAGATATATGGTTATTTTATAACCTGGATTCTTTTAGTTGCAAAAAACATGCAATAACAGAGTCAACAGTATTAACATATACAAGTTAATAAGACCAGGTTTAAAAACAATTGTGTAAGTGGTGTTACACATAGATTGCCCATTGTACGTAGTGTGTTAAGAGCAAATTTGGAGACTAATCACCTGTTTGATCAGAGAAGGCTGAGAGCACACACGTGTTTAGTAATTTTGTTTGCTTTTAGTGACAAAATGACCATAGTTAACTTGTTTCTGTATCTTCTCTAGACCAAACCTTCAGTTTGAAGCAGCCTGGGCACTGACAAACATTGCCTCAGGGACTTCAGAACAGACACAGGTGGTTGTCCGGGCTGGAGCAGTGCCACACTTTGTGAGGCTCCTGAGTTCCCCCAGCATGAGTCTGGTGGAGCAGTGTGTTTGGGCTCTAGGCAATATTGCAGGTACTGACACATGTCTGGTTCCTCGTCGTGATGTCCGTTACTGTGTGTTAGTGGCCAGTTACATATAGTTGTATCTATCTATTCTAAGAAAACTGATCAAATAGGGCCCCAGAAGGTGATTAGAATAAGCTGACGGCTGTTTGTGGTGCTTGTGATGAAGCTGTATGGGACGTAATTCTGAAATCTATGTAGATTCATTTTCTGATGCACCACAAGCCTTAGTTTAAAATTGTGCATGAAAAACAAGGAGACAGTCTAAAAGTTGATAAACTACTAGAAAACCCCTGAGTTTGCAACCGGTGAATGCTGTTAATAGACACATACACACAGTTGTCTTCACTCTGTAGGTTGTGTAAAAAATTATCAACACAACATCTATGCTTTTTACAGGAGTATTCCAGTTTTAAGTGGCTTTATAAATTTCTGTGTGTGTAAGAAATTATTTACACAGGTGGTGAATTTGATTAGAAAGTATTAGACCTGCCACTAAAGGTAAGCGTGGATTCAAAACAAGCTACAGAGTACAGAAGTGATGGGGATGGATGCAGTTGAGCTGGTATTCATGTTTAGGAGTCTCCATGGTGAAACAGTTACAAGTTTCAGCCAGTCTGGACGAGTAGTACAACCAAGCAGAGTACAGACCCAGCTTAGCTCTGAGTACCAAGCAGAGTACAGACCCAGCTTAACTCTGAGTACCAAGCAGAGTACAGACCCAGCTTAGCTCTGAGTACCAAGGAAAGATGTGAAAGTCTCTTGACCAATGAGAAAGTTTTGTGGGAGATGTTTATTTAATATAACTTATTACAAATTACTGATGCAGTAGAGATTGATTGATAAAATTCCTGTAAAGATGCTAGGTAAAGTTTGTCTGGGGGATTAGATTGGTTACTGTAAAGATGCTAGCTGAAGTTTGTCTAGGGATTAGATTAGTTACTGTAAAGATGCTAGGGATTAGATTAGTTACTGTAAAGATGCTAGCTGAAGTTTGTATGGAGATTAGATTGGTTACTGTAAAGATGCTAGATGAAGTTTGTCTAGGGATTAGATTAGTTACTGTAAAGATGCTAGGGATTAGATTAGTTACTGTAAAGATGCTAGATGAAGTTTGTCTAGGGATTAGATTAGTTACTGTAAAGATGCTAGATGAAGTTTGTCTGGGGGATTAGAATAAGTTGATGGCTGGTACTGGTGAATGTGATGAAGATGTATGGAACGTAATTCTGAAATCTATGTAGATTCATTTTCTGATTCACCATTAGCCGTGGCAGGACTAACTCGCTCTTTGCACTTACCTAATACCTCTCTCTCTCTCTCAGATCCTCATCTTTGTAAATAGAGTAGGTACTGTTTCATCCATAAAAAAAAAGTCAAGTGTTTTTTTCATATTTCTCCCCCCCCCCCCCCCCCCCCCCCCCCCCCCCCCCCCCCCTCCCCCCCCCCCCCCCCATTGAATTTTCTTTTGTGGACATATTTATGTTGTTACAAATATCAGCACTGTATGTAAGATGATTTATTGCAAAATATTTTCTGCTCTTTTTATTTTTTTAGGTGATGGTGCAGAAATGCGAGACATGATCACATCTCATGGAATTATTGAACCCCTGATGCGGCTTGTAGACATGGGTGCTCCAGTGAGTTTGCTTGTGTTTATTGCTGTAATCTTGTAGACATGGGTGCTCCAGTGAGTTTGCTTGTGTTTATTGCTGTAATCTTGTAGACATGGGTGCTCCAGTGTTTGCTTGTGTTTATTGCTGTAATCTTGTAGACATTGGTGCTCCAGTGAGTTTGCTCGTGTTTATTGCTGTAATCTTGTAGACATGGGTGCTCCAGTGTGTTTGCTTGTGGTTATTGCTGTAATTTCGTAGACATGTGTGCTCCAGTGAGTTTGCTCGTGTTTATTGCTGTAATCTTGTAGACGTGGGTGCTCCAGTGAGTTTGCTCGTGTTTATTGCTGTAATCTTGTAGACATGGGTGCTCCAGTGAGTTTGCTCGTGTTTATTGGTGTAATCTTGTAGACATGGGTGCTCCAGTGAAGTTTGCTTGTGTTTATTGCTGTAATCTTGTAGACATGGGTGCTCCAGTGAGTTTGCTCGTGTTTATTGCTGTAATCTTGTAGACATGGGTGCTCCAGTGAGTTTGCTCGTGTTTATTGCTGTAATCTTGTAGACATGGGTGCTCCAGTGAGTTTGCTCGTGTTTATTGCTGTAATCTTGTAGACATGGGTGCTCCAGTGAGTTTGCTCGTGGTTATTGCTGTAATCTTGTAGACATGGGTGCTCCAGTGAAGTTTGCTCGTGTTTATTGCTGTAATCTTGTAGACATGGGTGCTCCAGTGAGTTTGCTCGTGTTTATTGCTGTAATCTTGTAGACATGGGTGCTCCAGTGAGTTTGCTCGTGGTTATTGCTGTAATCTTGTAGACATGGGTGCTCCAGTGAGTTTGCTCGTGTTTATTGCTGTAATCTTGTAGACATGGGTGCTCCAGTGAGTTTGCTCGTGTTTATTGGTGTAATCTTGTAGACATGGGTGCTCCAGTGAAGTTTGCTTGTGTTTATTGCTGTAATCTTGTAGACATGGGTGCTCCAGTGAGTTTGCTCGTGTTTATTGCTGTAATCTTGTAGACATGGGTGCTCCAGTGAGTTTGCTCGTGTTTATTGCTGTAATCTTGTAGACATGGGTGCTCCAGTGAGTTTGCTCGTGTTTATTGCTGTAATCTTGTAGACATGGGTGCTCCAGTGAGTTTGCTCGTGGTTATTGCTGTAATCTTGTAGACATGGGTGCTCCAGTGAAGTTTGCTTGTGTTTATTGCTGTAATCTTGTAGACATGGGTGCTCCAGTGAGTTTGCTCGTGTTTATTGCTGTAATCTTGTAGACATGGGTGCTCCAGTGAGTTTGCTCGTGGTTATTGCTGTAATCTTGTAGACATGGGTGATACTTGATGATTAGAATGTCTAAGTATATTGAAGTTTTCAGGAAGTAACCAGACAAGCACAGAATGTTAGGCTCTCATTCTGGAGAACCAGATTCAAATCCTCTGTAAAATGTATTTTCTCCCCCTGTGTTGATAAAATCTCAACATGCGATTCAATTGCACAACACAAGTCTTGCAGCCCTGGATCCTCAGTGTGCTCCAGTATCAACATAAAAGATGGCGCAGACAGTTTTTAAACCACCAAGTTTTCATTCAGTAATGGCTGTTAACTAGGCCTGTCGGAGACCTTATATCTGTGATACTCCTTCACGGTTGCAAGCAAATTAATTGCCCAAAGAAGGATAATACAGATTAGTAGTCAGGCTTATTTGAGTAGACCACCTTTTATTGGAATTATATGACTTGATAAGTTACAGCAAAATACTGTTATATTTCATTTGAATGAAAGGGGATTTTTTTGGGGGGCCACAGAGGCGATAGAAACAAACATTCCTACTGAACAAAGGAGACATTTTGAAGACCATTTTATGTATAAATTCTAAGACACGAAGTCGGATGAAACATCATTAAGAATCTAATGTGGAATTAGAAATGGATCCAACAAGGAAGTCTTGTGTGTGAAGAGGAAAACTATAGTCATGTGCATCTTAAGTCAATTGCTGCTGAAGTATGATCATGCATAATGTGCTGTATCAGTTTTAAAATCAGTAGTCAATAAATATTAATGTGGGTTGTTCTACATCTTTTCTTGTACCATTCTGGTATATTTTTCAATGATGTAAGACTGCTGATGAACTAGAGGAGCCTTATTGTATCTCAAGAAGCTCATGTTGTGTCCCTGCATTCTCTTGAGGGCTGATCAGCATTATGTGGCATCTCTGCATGAGCCTGATTGTGGCACTACCTGTGACCTGGGAAATAAAGGTGACCACATAACAATGAGACTGCCAAGTCCCCAGAAACTAACCGGGGAGGCTAACCATGCCAACAAATGCCAGCAGAAGTTGGATGTGTTGGCCGAAAGCTGCAAATATCGCAGCCATGCTGTAAACGGACACAACGCAATTACATCTTCGGATGAATGAAGTATCTCAAGAAAAGTAACTTGCAGACTATGCCCAGTTTTCTAACCTTGCCAACCCAAACTGGCATCAAAATATATGTTTGTGTTAAACTAATTTTTAATTATAATTTGTTAGACAATGTCTGCTTATGGAATATTTAAATATCAATGGACATAATATTTCAGCATAAAAGCTTTGTATAATTTGTCCCAAGAGTTATCATTGCCCAGGCACCTTATTACGGTGATAGATTTGTTTCCAGTTTTTTTTTTTTTCACTTGCTCATGCTGCCTCTGTATAATTTTAAACTTAGTGATAATTGTTCAGTATCATTACAACACTGCTTAACTATTTTTTTACAGGCTTCTTTCCTTCGCAACGTAACTTGGACATTCTCCAACTTGTGCCGCAACAAAAACCCACCTCCCAAGATGAAGGCCATCCAGGCATGTTTGCCAGCTCTGCGAGCCCTTATCCAACACCCAGACAGGGAGGTGCTGGCTGACACCTGCTGGGCCTTGTCCTACATCACAGATGGTGCCAACCAGCAGATCCAGGAGGTTGTGGATCTTCCCGGTAAGTGATGACTTGGTTTGAGCTTGTCTAGTCTGTTGATTTCATATTGCCATCTTAATGGGGATTAGAAAATTACCCTTGAGTGGGCAGTTTAGTGGATACCTTCTGCTGCTCTTGGGTGTAAAACTAGCTGCCCACATAGCACTTCAGCAGGAGCTATAAATGGCTTAAAGAAGCTGCTAGGAAACATCCATTATAGTTCAGTTTCATATCTTATGTAGACATAATAGCTGTTTATGGTAGAATCAGCCTAAAGGGCTTCTCCTATGTCATTCTAATGAATGTTCACGACCAGACTGAAAATGTTAGTGTAAATATTAATGTCAGGAGATTTATGGTTTTGACCTGCACACAATTTGAAGTTATACTGTGATTGTGTTTTCAGTCTCGTATCATTTTTATTATGGCTATGGAAATAATACTAGTGCATGTGATGAAGCTATATGGGACGTAATTCTGAATATTATGTTGATTCATTTTGCTGATGCACACAAGACAGGATGTTGATCCTTGTAAGTGTAGTGTAACCATGTGGTCAGCCTAGATCTTTCTAGATAATTGACAATTGTGAGCAAACTGACAATATGCTCAGAAAGTATTAGTCAATGCTGCTGGATTGATGTCAGCCACTAGCTTATATTTTGATGAATGCATATTTTTGTTTCTGTGTTCAGCCTTAATTGGCGGTGGGTAGGTTATGTTGTGGCTTACAGCGCGACTGATATCTGCACCTTCTGGTACGGGCTAGGGGATTCCCCACCTCTGCTTTAGGGTGCTCAGAACCCACACTAGGAACATATTTTCAAATATGTCAGATAATGTCCCACCTTTTTGTCTTCCCTGTGTGCGCTAAAATAATTTTTCCCCAATAGCTGGTTGTGTTTTCATTTCATTTTACATGTTAGGATTAAATTAGAATACCTTTATTTATTTTTTCCAAAGTCTTTATTTCAAATCATCCTTCCTAGTGGTATTTCATGTTCATATGCTTGATAAATCATCCTTCCTAGTGGTATTTCATGTTCATATGCTTGATAAATCATCCTTCCTATTGGTATTTCATGTTCATATGCTTGATAAATCATCCTTCCTATTGGTATTTCATGTTCATATGCTTGATAAATCATCCTTCCTAGTGGTATTTCATGTTCATATGCTTGATAAATCATCCTTCCTAGTGGTATTTCATGTTCATATGCTTGATAAAGACCATCTTATAACATAAACAGTGCAATCTTTAAAAACTTCTCTAGAATTCTCACAAATCTGAGGACATTCTTCTCAGTGAAGCTCCTTTAATGAAACAAAACACTGGCAAGAGTAAACTTGCTGGCAGGCAGTCCAAATACTGATGCAGATATTTTTGCATGTTTCTGAATTTGTGGGTTTATTCTTGAACTGTATCCACATTTATTTGTACTGATCCTTGTGTCTATCCACTTGGCAACTCAAGACAACTGCTGCTGGTGATTTCTAGTCTTTGCGGTCAGTAAGTGTTGTTGGGGAGAGGTTTCTTGTCTGTCTCACTTTATGTTGAGTATAGAAGGAATAGATGGGTGCATATGATGAAGCGAAATGGGACGTAATTCTGAACATTATGTAGATTCATTTTCTGATGCACACAATATAAGGTGCTGGTGTGAAACATCTGTATAGATTGTTCTTCCACTTATAATTAATATTTGACTGTTGTGACAAACATGGTTTAGTGAACGTATGAGAAAATGCTGTCAAGCCTTGTGTGAGCGACCATGTTTTTCCCACACAGTACCGCACAATATTAATATGCATGTGCGATACATTCAAGTTTTAGCTTGCTCCCCCTACATATCTGACACCCCGAACTCCAGATAAGTCAGGCTCATGTACGTTAGGGATGAGGTTGTGTTTGATGACTCAAAGTTTTTGGACATTTTTCTTAAAGCAAAGCTGCCACACCAACTTTAATGAAATAATAGTTCTGTATTTTTGATGCTGTTCATTTTTAATTTTAAAGTTTAGCTGATTCTTACAATTTCTTGTGTGAAGTTATCTTTTAAATTAGTTCATTTTGCATATTTCAGAAATTAATGAGTGCTCAAATGTACATAGAAAATGTTCTGTTCTGCTTCTTAGTGTTTTGTTTACTCCTTTAAATCTATAGGCAAACAACGCAGGTGCAGATGATGAAGCTATATGGGACGTAATTCTGAATATTATGTAGAGCCATTTTTCTGATGCACACAGGCAAGAATGTTGATTCCTTGCAAGCGTGGAACATCTTAATACCTGAGAAGATAACAGTACATTTCTGCTTTACTCCACAATTCACACACACATCTATAGGTCTCGCTCAATATGCCTCCTGAAGGCGTAAACAAGGGTACTTTTACGTATGCACACACACAAATATAAAATCTTTAGCATGAACTTACTTAAAAACGCCCACTTAACAGTTACCGAATTCTGCCTCTAGAACCTTTTCCATGCCTCATATTTTTCAGTCTAGTATTGTTTTTAAAGCATCTTCTAATTCTTGACTACCTACCAATCCATTTTTGAGAACTGGTCAGTGTCTCTCCTGGGCTGTACCGTAAGAATAAACCTAGTGTATGTGATGAAGCTGTATGGGACGTAATTCTGAATATTATGTTGAGTCATTTTCTGATGCACACAGGCCGTTGAGATCAGTCTCCTGCTTGAAATTTCACTATTGTCGACTGACTGGTAACCTGTCGGGCTTCAGTGTTTACATGTTTTACTGTCGACTGACTGGTAACCTGTCAGGCTTCAGTGTTTAAATGTTTTACTGTCGACTGACTGGTAACCTGTCAGGCTTCAGTGTTTAAATGTTTTACTGTCGACTGACTGGTAACCTGTCAGGCTTCAGTGTTTAAATGTTTCACTATTGTCGACTGACTGGTAACCTGTCAGTCTTTAGTGTTTAAATGTTTTACTGTCGACTGACTGGTAACCTGTCAGGCTTCAGTGTTTAAATGTTTCACTATTGTCGACTGACTGGTAACCTGTCAGTCTTTAGTGTTTAAATGTTGTACTGTCGACTGACTGGTAACCTGTCAGGCTTCAGTGTTTAAATGTTTCACTATTGTCGACTGACTGGTAACCTGTCAGGCTTCAGTGTTTAAATGTTTCACTATTGTCGACTGACTGGTAACCTGTCAGTCTTTAGTGTTTAAATGTTTTACTGTCGACTGACTGGTAACCTGTCAGGCTTCAGTGTTTAAATGTTTCACTATTGTCGACTGACTGGTAACCTGTCAGTCTTTAGTGTTTAAATGTTGTACTGTCGACTGACTGGTAACCTGTCAGGCTTCAGTGTTTAAATGTTTTACTATTGTCGACTGACTGGTAACCTGTCAGGCTTCAGTGTTTAAATGAACAATTGTATGCTATCAAGTTGATGTCCATCCCATCTTTGGTGCTTGACCTGCTGGTGAGACTGATCACTAACCTCCACTTCTTTGTGCAACTGAAACAAATATATACTTAGGATCAATACAAGGCTTGTTTCTGATTTGTATATAGTATTTCTTTAACCCATGCTAAAAGCAGTGCCATTCAGCTAAGGGGCATCGTCACATGACATGGACCAAATTTCATCAATAATTTTTAGGCTATCCTCGGAATAACGTTCCCAAATTATCGAGGCCGAAAATGTACCCTACTAGGGCCTCAGTCACATGTAAATTGCGACCCCCTTCCGGCAACTACACATACCGCCAAGAGTATCTCCGCGTGGAAAGGGGCTTAACTTGATGGATGGGACTCATGAGCAAATAAAATGGAGGAAACTGCATTAGATGCGGTAGCTGCTGCTTGCGAGCCCCAGTCATCTAGATAAGCGGCGTGGGAGATACTCTCGGTAGTGACTTTAACTTGGCGGAAGCTTTTCCGTGGTATGCCAATTATTAATATAATAGTTGGCAGTGATCTGCAGGCTACTTGCTAGGCTTCTGCAGGTTGGATTCAGCCCACGGCCTGCCAGGCTTCCTTGTATTGTAGCTGGGGAGAGTACCTAATTTCCTCATTACTGATGTCCGCTTTAGTTTTGAACTTTTAAATAGATAGCAACTCCACCAACCTGCCCTGTCTTCATGAGACCCATCAATGTCTTATATTACCCAAATTGGTCATTTGCCGTTTTTGTCAATCTGGTTGTCTTACCATTTCCTCTTGATGCCTCTACATGTTTCATCACATTTATTTGCCTTTATTTTAGAAATTATGTGTTAAAAAATACAAAGGGATTATTCTAATTTGGTGAAATTAGATACTCTTTAAAGTTAGCTGTGTAATCATTTTTTTTTTTTTTTTTTTTTTTTTTGCTGTCTAGTGTTTGTTCTTTCACCCCATAATCGGTGACTTCATACACATCTACTGCTGAACTAGAGGCAACTTTGCTAGGTTACTTTTTGGGAGCGTGTCTTTACAGTGTGTTAAGAGTTGTCTCTTGTGTCAAGGTGATGTGCACCTGATGAATCTAAATGGGACGTAATTCTGATATTATGTTGATTCATTTTTCTGATGCAACTCTTATTGCCTTGGTAAATATTTTACTGCATTTGTTCTTTATTATTTTAGAACATATTTTAAGCTAAAAATAAAAACAAGCAGTGTAATAGAAAAGTGAGATTCTCTTTAAAGTAAGCTGTGTATTCATTTTTTAGTAGTTAGTTCATTTATCAGTCAGTCCTGCTAGCTATTCTCATTTGTCTGATGAAACAACCTCTTGGTGACCTTCTGCCTGTTTCATCACATTCATTCATCAGTAGTTTTAATACCATTGTTTGGGCTAGCTGTACAAAAACAATGCATTTGATTCAATGAAATGGAAATCCTTTTGAAATTTTGCATCTTTTGTTGATTTTCTCCAGAATGAGTAAAGGAATATAATATAACCCTAGTGCATATGATGAAGCTATATGGGACGTAATTCTGAACATTATGTTGATTCATGTTCTGATGCACCGCAGCAGTGTACATGTTAAAGCAGCCAATCGGTGAGGGAAGTGCCTCGTCTTAACCATGTTACATTGTTGTATCCCCTGCAGGTGTCCTGCCACGACTTGTGGAGCTGTTAGGAAGCACTGATGCTTCAGTTGTTACCCCAGCTCTGCGAACCATTGGTAACATTGTCACCGGAGATGATTGTCAGACTCAGGTAGGTGACTCACTTTTTCAGCACAGCTGGCTCACTGTTATCTCACATTGTGGGCTGTCACTACAATTATTGTTGAATTTTACCATATTTATGAGGTAGTTTATCTGTGCATAGATCATTAAAATTTTTAAGATTTTGGGAAAGAGGCAGTGCATCAGTAAGAAATACTGTTTCTTTTTCATTCAGCTGCAGTGGCCTAAGAACTGCTGCAATAATTTTCAGTTCTTAACAGCAATGCTAGATTTACCTTGCCATATAGACATCAGAGGCTGCGCGCGCACACACACACACACACACACACACCCCCCCCCCCCCTCCTTTTCACTAAACTCGAGTCTGGTTCCCTTGCCTGCCAAGGTGGCCAATTTTCTCCCATTCTGCATACATGTCCAAACCACTGTCACTGTTGTTGATTCACTCAAGTTTGTAAGTCCTAGGTTTCAAGATCTTGATGTATTGTCTGGTTGCAAACTTTGTCTCTTCTGTCATCTGTATTATATTTTCTTTTGTGTGTTGGTTATTAAGGTGAGCAGTGAATAAAGGGACCTAGTGCATGTGATGAACCAAAATGGGACGTAATTCTGAATATTGTGTTGATTCATTTTTCTGATGCACTCAAAAAAGATTTTATTGTAGTAAATCTGCATCTGTGGTCAGTAACTGAAACAGAAAATAAGAAAGAGATGTGCAGTATACTGCCTGTCTAGACCGGGTAATTAACCTGGCCAACAAATGCTGGATAAGGTCTGCCAAACAGTGCAAATATCGCAGCTTTGCTGTAAATAGGTACAATGCAATTACATCATTTGGACAAAGGAAAAATAGGAATGTACTAGCACAGTATCCTGTCTCATGATCATCCTATAGTTTGTCTGTGAGACAGTTTCACTTAACTGTTTCTTTGTGAATGTTGTGACTCTCCTTGCCAGGATGTGCTGATCAGTCGGAATCACCCCTCAACATGCATGTATTAGGAGGCGACACATTGGGCTGATCAGTCGGAATCACCCCTCAACATGCATGTATTAGGAGGCGACACATTGGGCTGATCAGTCGGAATCACCCCTCAACATGCATGTATTAGGATGCGACACATTGGGCTGATTATTTTGAGGTCGGAATGAATGAGTCTTCCTAAGGGGCAATGATCCAGTTGTCTGCATAGAAATTAAGTCATCAAATCTGTAAAACAGACATGCATGCAACACTCTTAATTTTGGAACAACCAATTTCCAGAAATGGACGAATCAGAAACCAAGAGTTTACAGCCAGTGTATGCTAAGAAATACACCATACCTCCCTATGGGCATCTTACAGTTACTGAAGTAAAGTAGTTGTTTGTTAGTTTATGTAATAATCAGGTGATACTTTTCCCATGGCAGGCTGTGCTGGACACAGGTGTGCTGCAGATGATGCCCGGTCTCCTTCAGCATTCCAAGAACAGTATTAAGAAGGAAGCCTGCTGGATGTTGTCCAACGTCACTGCTGGCTCCACAGAGCAGATCCAAGCTGTCATCAACCACAACCTTCTGCCACTTCTCATTGATGTGCTTTGTACGGTAAATATATTTTAATACATCATTCTTGTTGACAGACAGGTGGAAACAAGTATTTAACAAGCCACCATTACATATTAGTGTGCCGGTGTCTTGCAACACATGGCTGTTTCGGTAGAGATGAAAATAATTTTTGTTCCAACTTTTGCAGGATCAAATGTTGAAGTTAAATTATAGAAACATGAGAAAACTAACCACCAGTGAAATTAGAAAGAAAGGCTGCCAAGAAAACCAGATGTGACAGATTAAAAAAAAATATACTGAAAAATACCCACTGATAAATTTATTGAGAAAAAAGGAACGGGGGGGGGGGGGGGGGTGTGTGTTATATTTGTACTTTATCAAATTTAGCGCATAAAAATACTGCTATGAAACGTTCACATGTCATACATAACAAATGTAAATGATTGATATTATTAGTAGACTACTACAACATATAATTATACTGTTATTTAATAATTAGTAAACAAGCACAATCAGTATGAAATTGATATGTGCAATACTTTTTTCACCCAGAGTAGTTTTCTTAACAGTACTTATAGCACTACTAAATATGTATCCTCAAGGTACAAACAGCACAAACAAAGTTGTCCAGTTTCATCTTGTTGGATGAAATCAATTCCTTATCATTGCGAATTTTTTTGTAACTGTTTAAAAATACATCACACATATTTCTAATTACTGCATGCAACAACACATATAAATATCATGAATGGTATATTATTTTAAAGGTAATTGAAGCAAATTAAAAAAGACCATCTAACTGCAAATTGCTGAGCAACATAAAAATATCAAACACAAAAATGTCCATATAGATACCAGATCTCGTTCAAAACTGTCTGGAACAAGACTAAAGCCCAGAATAAGATGAACAACCAGAGGTTTCTGCCAGAGTTTACAGCCAGTGTCTGCGATGCAAAAGCCAATTTACAAAAATTAACACAGAACGTACAACTGCAAATATGCATAAGAAGTGGATGAGCAGCCAAAAGTTTCTGTAAGAGTTTACAGCCGTGTTCGTGAAGCATCAGTCAAATGGTTAAGGATTAATATTATTAACGTACTTCTACAACATATAATTATACTGTTAGTTAACAAGTTAGTAAAGAGGTAAAGAGTGACTTGCTGTAAGAGGTTAGTTAGTAAATAAAATAGTTTTATGCACTTACCCAGAGCTCTGAAAATCTTGTCACAATTTATTCACAATTTGATTTCTACATTCAAAGTAGAAAAAGAATAAACAGCCAGTTCCTAAAAGTCTAAGACTAGAAACAGTGACACACACATCACAACACAACTGTCTTCCGTAAATTAAAATTGCTGTATATCCACTTCACAATATCCGCTTGTAGATTTGTAATATGTTTAGAACACAGGACTTTGTAAGCATATTAAAATGTCACACAATGCAACATGGAAACAATTCCAGTGACCTATTTTTGAGGGGACTCCTCCAAAATGTACCATGATTCAGTTGTCAGGACTGAATATACAGCCAGACGTGCACTGGGATATCCCCTCCCCCTCCTCTTCCTCACATTGTCTACAGTCCATGCTGATTGGTTTGGTCATCCTCTAGGACCTCAACCTCCTTGTCTTGTGTACTGTCAAACATTCTTTAGATATCCGCCTTCTTCCTTCCTTCTAAAACTTTCCAGTTATTATATATTCCAGTATAATCCTACTCATGTCTTATTTTTACTAAGAAAAAAATTGAGGTATTTATCAGAAAATGTCTATATTAAAAAAAAAAATATATTAAAAAAAAGTACTGCTGGTACTAACCACAAAGTGTCTTGCTGCAATGGGCTGGTACTGTATACTGTTGTGTACTGCTAGGAGACATGCCACAATCCTGCTTGTAACCTTCCCAAAGATTTTTAACTCTAGGGTCTTCTATGCTTCTCTCCCCCTCCCCCCCCCCTAAATCTACATATCTGCTGCTGCCACACAATTTCAATTTTTCCCTAACCTGTTGAGTGTCCATGATTCACTTGTGTATGTCAGGATTATCTGCCTACCATCAAAATGATTGTTATATTGTTTACTTTTTCCATAGGGTGACTTCAAAAGTCAGAAAGAAGCTACTTGGGCAGTGACCAATCTAACCTCTGGGGGAACCACAGAACAGATCAGCTATGTGGTTCAGTGTGGAGCCCTCAAGCCTCTGTGTGATCTTCTGGTGTCCAAGGACACAAAACTGCTGCATGTGTTGCTGGATGGCATCATCAATATTCTTGAGGTAACATCTACAGTGTGTGAGCTTTCGATAAAAGCAACATCTACAGTTTGTGAGCTTTCACTAAAGGCTGGGTATCGTAACATTTTTAACTGGTGCCGCGCCAGTCAGGCGCCATGGACTACTATTCATGTGAACCGATAAGTGTCTCTTCGTTGAAAAATTATTCTGGCTCTCTACATATAAACCAGTCAGTGTTTATTGCCTTCCTACATATGAAAGAAATAGTGTGCCATTAGCTGTCTATGTGTGAACCTTTCTATGTTGTTGGCTTTACCTGTGAACCAGTTCAGGTGCTGTTAGCTCCCTGTGTGTGAACCAGAGTGTGACAGTATCTCCGTGTGAATCTCACTGTTGTTGATTCTGCATGCGAACAAAAAAGTGCCCTTGGCTGATTTGTGCCATTGGTTTCTCTTCCTATCCCAGTCATGATGTGTGCTTGTAATTGTTGCTCTTCATGTATAATAGATACTAGACAGTATAATACATGTTTTGTGAGATGTTTGATATTTCTAGTTTTTGTGGTAATGTTGTAGTAGATGGCTTATATTACTAGCCTGTTCTGTTGTCACCATACACTGTCAGATATTGCATGTCATCATTATCAGGTTAGATGTTGCCAGAATGATATGCTGAAATTTGGTTGAGATTACCGTTTAAATTGGTTATTATTGCATGTGAAAATATCACATTAAATGTTGCTGTAGGCAGACCTATGTTAGGACTGCATTGCCACAATGATATCCTGAAGTTCGCATGAGATGACCTGTTATATTAAATATTGCATGAGAAACCTATCACGTTAGATGTTGCTTTAGGTGACTTATGTTGGGATTGCATTGCCACAATGATATGCTGAAGTTTGCAAGAGATGACCTGTTTTGTGTTGGATATTGCATGAGAAAACTATCAAGTTAGATGTTGCTTTAGGTGACTTATGTTGGGATTGCATTGCCACAATGATATGCTGAAGTTTGCAAGAGATGACCTGTTTTGTGTTGGATATTGCACGAGAAAACTATCAAGTTAGATGTTGCTTTAGGTGACTTATGTTGGGATTGCATTGCCACAATGATATGCTGAAGTTCGCATGAGATGACCTGTTTTATGTTGGATATTGCAGGCAGCTGACAAGGTTGGCCAGACAGAGCCTGTATGTATGATGATGGAAGAGGTCGCCGGCTTGGACAAAATTGAACAGCTTCAGAACCATGAAAATGTACAGGTGTACAAGAAAGCTTATGAGATCATTGAGAAATACTTCTCTGAAGAGGTGAGCATAATACATTTTCAGTTACTTATTACATACATGCCTACATTCTTCAGATAGCATTGTTTTACCTGTAGTTCAACGGCTGTAAACTGCATGTCAAGTCCTCCCTTACTGATTGTTTCAGGAGTTTATTTATATCCAGACTGTTGGTTCCTTGTTTCTATCAAGTGCACTCTGACTTAAGAAGAAATCCTTTCTACATTGGCCTGTCCTAAGCTGTGAGCCTGTTTCTAGGACGGCCATGGAGATGTAAATAGGTCTAGAACGTAGAAGTTCTGGTGCACAACCACGTGTGTTCAGTGCATCTGCGGTCCTTGCTTGTATATATGTAACTTATCAGATATTGGACCATTCAGTGGGTGTTCATTCACAAACACTTATCTATAATTCTGTACAGTGTGTCTCATATGTTTCCAGACATAGGAATATAAACATATCACAAACACCATTACAAGCGTAACTGAATGTTCTTCAACACTGAAGGACACGTGTTTTCAAAGCAATGACTATCATTTAGATCATATTTTATTAATAAAATGGGGGTCCTCGGAAATTATTTCTTCTATGTAAGTGTGTAGGGCAGTGGGTTAAAACTAATCATGTCTGCCTTGTTTTTTTTAGTTATGTAAATCCATTTCACCCCAATAGTCCCGGTGATTATTATGAGTTGCTGTCCATGCCTGCATTGTTTTCTACAAGTTATGTGTTCAGGCTAAGCTGTTTATTTTCAACTCTTAATGGGTATGCACATAACAGTTCATGTGTGCGCCTCAGTGTCTGAGGTTTAATTTATGTGAGCCAAAATAGGCAGCCATAATGCAACATTTTTTTTAGAGAACACATGTCTGTGCTAGTCGAATGTCCCGTTGCCCCATTTAAAGAAGCAGAAAATCCATGACCCCATTTCAGATAGGCCAGATGACTGGCGACCGGATACATTAAAAATAAGCCTTTTAGTAGAGTAAACAAAAACACATTGAAAACAGTAATGTTAACTCACGAAATATTTGAGGCGATTGAAATGCTACTTTATTAACAAGCTTACAAATATGCAATTTTTTTCATAAGTGCCAGCTTCAAAACACTCAACATTTAATCTTATGTTGGTGACCAAATTGAAGAAGCTTTAAAAATAATGAAAACAAACACGATGTGCTATGCATCAGGTTACTGGAACTGGGATCACGTATGCGCCAACTAGGATTGTATTTTCCTCTGGCTTTGAACAAAACCCCCCTGTTGTCTGCAAGAAAAGGCTAGACTCTCAGCACGCATGTATTACTACTGACCAACAAAGCACAAGCTGAGTAGAATCTGCATTCTGCTCGCAAATCCTGCAGGGCACTGATGCAATGTTTTGTTTGTTTTTCCTTTTAAACTTTTAATGACAGAATATACCCCGCTCAACCCTATTTTAGGTCACGGTCCATGGTTTGGGGGATTGATCTATGACCACTGTTTGGAGAGACACCATTCACAATTTATTATTAATACCTTTATTTTAGTTTTAAAGCTTCAGTCAGCATAATACTTGTCTTTCATCTTCTTTGTATGCTTTTTCCCCTTCTAAAACAGGGAGAGGACAAGGAACTCGCCCCAGAAAGCAATGAAGAGTCTGCCCAGTACCAGTTCAACACAAACAGCATCAACCCTACACAAGGGTTTAATTTCTAGTTCTCGCTCACAATCATGGAATGTACAGTTTAACACTTCTCTCACTTACTGTCACCCTCGGGGTTGTTTGTTTTGTAGTTGTGCCTGCTGTCTGTAGCTTGAACACCAACAAATACATTACATGTCTAGCTTACTTTGTGGTTAAACTTCAACATAAAGTGGTTAAACATTGATCTCTTGTCTCCACTAGGGATTAACTTCTGTTTGTCATTATTAGGGTATGTGCACGTAAACACATTTTACACTATTATGTCACTTCTGTCTGTCACCTTTTAGGAGATGTACGTTAACATCACATACATTCATCTTCTACGCCTGCATTCAGACTTGAAACAACAGTTTGCCTTTTGATTTTACTAAAGCAATCCACTATAAAATAACAGTTCAGCAAGAAGGATTCTATTGTTTCATGTATTGTGTATATAGTTGATGTTAGAAATCAAAATGTTACATGTTTTTTGTGTATGGATATGTTCTATATTTAATATACTAACATTGTTAGCTCAGAAATATTAGGTTAAGAACAACAGGAAGTGTTTAGATGTCAGGATGAGTGTGGAGACTGAAAGAAAAGAAGGCATCAAAGAATGTTATGGGATGATAGGAGAAACTAAGACAGGGCTTCTTGAGATGGATGGAAGTCAGAAAAATCTTACGTAGACAGTGTTTTTGAGACCATGTTATGAGTGAATAACTGCATGGCTTAGGTATAGGGATAACTGAGACTTGAATGGATGTGATATATTCGATTCTCGTGATCGTGTCAGATGGTAAAACAACCTACACTTATCGGCCTGTCCATCCCCATGATGAAGAGGATCCGTAAGCAAAATCATGATCTAGGAATAGTCAAAAAAGGAAATTGGCAATTGTGGGCTTGAAAGTTGACTAGAGAAATGAGAGAAGCCTGGCAAGTCTGAAGACTGCACACTGACACAACAAACTGAGATATAGCATAAAATAACACAAATTGTATGAACTGTAAGACATTTCTTGTACAAGTAAAAGATGGTTGGTAGCATATTTTTAAACGACTGCAAATGACAATGCAGTTGTTTGACTTCATGATCTGATGTGTAATTTCTTGGTATTTCTGATCTGAAATAATCTTTCATAATATTGTTGATTAAAATAATTTGTGCCTTGCCCTGTAGGTGTAGTGTACCTTTTGTTTGCTTGTATCTTCGGATCTTTTCCTGTATTGTCTTATTGGTTTGTGTGTTAGGAGAAGAGGGAGACCAGAACATGAGATCACTTTGGCAAGAAAAATAAGGTAAAAGGAAATTGAGCCTTTTGTAATTGCAGTCTGCACACAAATTCTTCGTCTACTGCTTTACCCCGAGTGGTGAAGGCCCAGTTAAACTATCTTTTGCTATTGCATGCATACAGCTCACCTCATGTCCTCTCCTCCTTTTTTTTTTAAACCTTATTCTCTAGTTGCCCCCCTCCCCCACTCTCTCTCTTTCTTCTTCTTGCCTACCTTTATTTCTATGCCCTTGTAAACATGCTGGTTACATTCTTGTTTTCTCCTAATGTCCTGTCTTTTCTTCACCTCTTGAGTCACTAGGTTGCTTTCGTCTCTCCCAGAGCTTTATAGTTTTGTGATTTCTATCATATTGTTTAATTCCATTTATACTAAGCAAAAACTAGTTAATGAATCTTTTTAAAAAAAATTGTTGTTACTGGGCAAGCCAAGTAGGGAGAGGTACAAACACTGCAGCCTATCAGGCGTGTCAACAGTTTACTGGAGGTAGTGTTGGCTACCCCATGGCCACATAAAACAACCAACCAACCACTGTAGAGAGAGATAGTGGCTGGTGCCAGTATGCAAGGCACTGGAAAATTTGTTTTGGGCAATAAGAAAGTCAGTTTGCCCTTATTTAAGATTTTGGAACAGGCAGTCAGAATTTCCCAGACGACAGCTGAGACACTTTTATATTGTACTTATATTGAGCGAATGAAGGAAACAAACTGCAGAAAGGAGGAGAGCTGAGCGTCTGAGCAGAAGCACATTAAATACATTTGATAACAACGGTCCTGCAGAAGTCCCCCACCCTAACCCAAATGTTTTCTTCATGGCAGCACCCCAATTTCCTTGCTAACATACAGGGCACCATGGGCATGGCGAAGAACCTGTATGATTGAGAATAAAGAATTGACACCACTGCACTAGGGACATCTCACAAGCACTTTGTCTTCACCAGTGGCCAACAATTTTCCCGTAGTGACGGTGCCTGCTGTCTTTTCCTGTAGAGTTTTTTTTAGTCATATGAGAAAAGGAGCTCTGGAGAATATTGTGACTGGTACAAGAAGCAGACCAAGAGAAATTACGGTAGATGGCTTTAGACAGTTGCATGGAGGAATATCATCAGTGGAATTGACCCAGAACACCAAAGACCGAGATCAGTGGAGATACATGAATGCCTACACCAGCTGGCAAGGTACTTGATGGTGTTGAATTTGAGTATTACATTGGCCACAATCATCTGAAAGCTGCTGTTTTTGCCTCTCTCTATTCTGATGCAGGATGTGTAATCCTCCTTAGATACAAAGGGGGGGGGGGGGGGGGGGTTGCAGAGTGGGCTTCAAAGCTATTGGTCATGGTCTCAATTTTCCCCCTCCCCCCATCACCGATGGTGAACATATAATTGCACTAGTGACAATGACTACGGTCACATGACTAGTATGGCTAACTGCCTCGCGGTCACTAGATGTGAACTCCAGCGGAAAGTGTTGATTCTTCAAGTATCTCTAGACTCTGTCTTGTTTCAGAACCTGGGTACTGAGGGCACATCGGTCTAAGAGATCTGGTTTATTTGCATACAGGCTGTTGGTTTGCCTTTCAGACAGGTGAACTGAACTCCGAAGGAAGCCCTCATAGGACATAATTTTTGTGGAGACAGTGAACATATTCTTATTTTGCCTGCGATGGGGCCACAGAACCCACTCGGAGATGTTAGAAAAATGTTAGAAGATTTACTCGATCTGTAGAAAAATATTGTTTATGTTAGAAGATATAGGAAACTGAATTGTTTATATACACGATCTATAAGAAAATATGGTTTATGTTAGATTTAGTTGATCAATAGGAAACTGTAAATTGTTAATGTTGGAAGATATACTTGATCTGTAGGAAAATATAAATTGTTTATGTTGGAAGATATACTTGATCTGTAGGAAAATATAATTTGTTTATGTTGGAAGATACACTCGATCTGTAGGAAAATATAAATTGTTAATGTTGGAAGATATACTCGATCTGTAGGAAAATATAAATTGTTTATGTTGGAAGATATACTCGATCTGTAGGAAAATATAAATTGTTTATGTTGGAAGATCTGTAGGAAAATATAAACTGTTTATTTTGGAAGATATACTTAATCTCTAGGAAAATATAAATTGTTTATGTTGGAAGATATACTCGATCTGTAGGAAAATATAAATTATGTTGGAAGATATACTCGATCTGTAGGAAAATATTGTTTATGTTGGAAGATATACTCGATCTGTAGGAAAATATTATGTTGGAAGATTTAGTCGATCAATAGGAAACTAGAGGAAATACTCGATCTGTAAGAAAATATAAATTGTTTATGTTAGAGGATGTACTCGATCTATAAGAAAATGTAAATTCTTATCAGCCTTAAAAATATCAGAAAGTCTACAATGAAATGGATTGTTTTCCCCATCAAATAAAATTGTAGTTTTCTTGGCACTTGATACAAAAGTATCCCTTTTCAATGTGGAATACATACGTACCAATAAATACAGAGGTCAACTGTAGTGAGAAAAAGTCTTAAAGTACAGTTGAATATGACACACTAGCGAAAAGCGGAGATATTCCCCCCCCCCCCCTCCCCCTTTCTCAGTTGACAGTAAGAGAGAATGCGAAGAATAGGACGGGGGCGGGGAAAATCAAACGAAACAGGGCACTAAATGATAGATGAAAACCGGAATCTAAATAGAACAATTGTTCGTAGGAAGGCAGGTAAACATGTTATAAGAAGAAATAAACACAGTAACTTAATATCGACATTAACGGCGGCGACTGTGGCTTAGTGTTGCGAACGCGCTTGGTGATGCGGGGTTCGATCCCAGCTGCAGGTCTTGTGTTGGTTTCGATAGTGGTATCGAGAAGCCGACCGTCCAGTAAACAATGGCAAACCGCTGGACTAAATTTTCCTAGAGAAACCACAACAGCCAAAAAATGTTGCGGTTGGTTCTGTAAAGGATACACAACTAACAGTAACTTAATATACCTAATAAACGTGATGGAAAAAGAGCTGATATAAGATACACATTAATCGTATCTCGATGGTATTGACTAGGCACGAACTTTGATCTCATCCGTGATTATGGTGATCATTTAATACTGCAAAAATGAGTGGTTACGTCTGTCGATACATACATGTTAATAATGTTGAATAGTTGTTAGAACAGGACTATTCAACCAAGTCTGCTCAGTTGCCAGCATTTTGAAAATAGGGAACCGTCACGGACCAGAGCCCTAGCGTAGAATGTTGAATTAGCACTAGGGACACTCCCATTAAAAGGTCCGTCCCCACCCTTAGCAGCAAGCAAAGAGTTTCAGTCCCGATGGTACCAGTAACGGTCTGGTTGGATATCAGGGTCCCCAGCGTAGAAAATTTTTCAATACAACTGGTAAGGATCCGCGGAACACTTGCTAGGCCTCCCCGAACTAATAATTAGAACTCCGCAGACGAGCATGCACAGCAGGAGTCTACCAATCATCAGTAGAATCTGGTAATCCTAGTTTCAGCTTCATAGCAAACGGGCCATCGCATTGTTGCCCCGCTCCTGTGCCAACGAAAAACACGTAGCTCACAGTGTCACGCCATGCACTCAACTCAGAAGCTAAGCGACGAAACTATGTCCTTCCAGTCTACAAATGGAGCAAAAATGCAACGGCCACCGTCTGGCAGGAAAAAAAAAACATTTGCCACAGCTAAAAAAAAAAAAAAGGTGGCAGTGCCTAGTGT